GTACCTGTCGTGTCAGTCATGTTGTCCACGTCGTTGGTTGTCGTACACCCCCCTCACCAGCTCACCTCAAACAGCTTCTTCAGGTTGTTGGTATTGCTCGCCCTGTTCTGCTTGTCACCATCACACACCCCCTCACTCCTCTTCTCTCTGAGGAGGAGCCGTGGATCGTCAGGTTCTAGCTTCAGATTATTCCCTTTCTTTGGGCGTCAATAGGCCCCCTCTTTCAAGGGGGGGGGGGGGGGGGCCACCGGGGGCCGACTGGGGAGGGGCACAAAAGGACGAAGCGCAATTGCGCGACAACAGATGCACTCGGGGAACCACAGCGAGAGGATGGATGCCATTCCATTCCGTCCCATTTGCGCACGCACACACGCATTGCCAACCAACCCAACAAGCAACTTACAACACTGAGGTGCGCAAGACTCGATGTGCGAGCGACCGGCGGTGATTCACCGCCGCCGGTCAACTCTGATGGATGGTTACGTCTGCTCTTGTTCCTGTCCCAACACCAAACACCGACATCTGCCCTACGGCCTTGTACTTGTACCACACCTGCAGTGGTCAGCCACCAAAATGAACCCTTCAAAATACCTACTGCGATACAAAAGTAGGTGTGCCAGCCCGTCTGCCGTGGCTGCATCCAGCACACCGTCCCGACTCCCGTCCAGGGCTGATGGACCGTCGAGTCGCTGTGTCTGGCACCCCGCGCGGCGCATCGCATCGCATCGCATTGCATCCGCGCCCATCCCGCTCCAGTCACAAACAAGAACGGCGAAATCGCACACACAAAATCGATTTCTTCTTTCTTTTTTTCCCAAGATTGCCAGACGGGAGCCAGCAAAAAGCAATCATGGCGTGCCCTAACCGGGAGAGTAGGGACGAAAAAAACCAATTCCGTACCCCCGGCTCACGGCCGTTGTCTCTCACTTCTCACCTGCCCCATCCAACCCGCTGCGCCGGGTTGGGTCCCCGGGGGTGTCTGTCTCAGGTAATTTGGCTGCTGTTGGTCTTTTGTTTTTTTTCGGCAGCCAATTTATTTCTTGCGAGGTTCATTCTTCCCGTCTTCGTCGACCTCGGTCGCATTTGTCGCGACCGCAGCAGTAAACCCCAGGCCGTGCTACCCCGGCATCTCATCTTAATCATGCTGGATGTGTCCCAAGCTGTGGTGTCCCAGGTGCCCGGAGTCAGGCGTAGATAGATGGCAAGGCCGGGGCAGGGCAGGACGAGGCGAGGACATGGATCCTGATCATTTGCGGCGCTTCTTCTTTCTTCCACGAGGTGTGCCCGTCGTCGTCGTCGTCGTTGTCGTCGTCGTCGACGACAAGGCTCACCGAAGCGAAGCGAGAGAGCTCGGGATGCCAGGGGGCGTGGGCGCGGCAGCCATCAATCACGATCAAACCCATTCATCACCGCAGCAATGGCATTCATCGTCCGCCTCGGGACAGGGCAGCAAATGCCAACCCCTCAAGCCACACCACAAGGTTCGGGATGATTCAGGGCAATCATTCTTGAGAATGCGACTGGCTTGGATGGATGGCCCGGATGCAACGATGCGACCGAAGCAGTTTGTCTCCCTCCTGTGCAATTCCGTCGCATGCCCGAAATTCCTCCATTCCTCCAGACAATCACCGCCATCACCACCACTACAACTTGTCGTATCCGTAGGCACCTACCTACCTTACCTCTGACACCCCTGAACTGCTGAAGCGAACCTCCTTCGTACGAACACGCACATCCATGATCCCGCATCCGCCTATTTTTTCCACAAGATGCGACGACGATAAACTTACGAATCCATCCGTTCGTACAGGATGGGTTGCGTTGTCTATTTCTCGCTGAATCCGAATTCTGACTGACTCTGATTGCCTTGCTTGCTGGATGCTGGCTGACTAGCATGCCCCTCCAACGTCCAATGTTTCCAAATTCGAGTGTTGACACCTTGGCCGTCTAATGACAATTCCCATGCCAATACTGATGCGATACGACTCAAACACCGTTACAACACAGCAAGCAGCAGCAGCAGTGGCAAAGGCAAACCTGGGGGAGGGGCGGTGACAGCTGCAAACTTGTTGACCGCCTTACACCTTGATGTAAGGTAAGGTATCCGTAGCTACCATATTGATACGTATTCGACAACGACAACGACGTAGTGTATCCGTACGGGCACTTTACCGCCCTGCGCCTGTACAACCTTACTCTCACCTCTTCCATGCAGAGCACTTTTCATACGCTCGGCTACTTACCATTGAACAACATCCCTCGCTCCGCAGCGAAATCCGGCCGAGGTGACTGGCTGGGGACTCAGCCCGACCCGAGGCGACTGCTTCCCCGGCCTGACTCAGACTGGGGGTGGCGCGCGCCGGATTACATACTGCCCTTCCAAGACGGTACCACCACCACCGCCGACCTTTGTTACCCCGGATCGCCATGGCTGTTGGCCGTCGGTTGTTGGTGGGTGTAGAGGGTGAGGGTGAGGGTGTGGGTGTGTTGGGACGAGAACGGTGGAAATCACTTCCCACTTGCTTTGTTTGACCGATTATTTCTGCCGCTTGCCTGCTTACCTCACCTCAGCCAAGAGAGATACCGAATCCGCAGGCAGAAGGAACAAGCAGAAAAGCCGTTGAAAGCGAACGAATGCATGTGTGTTCGGCTTGTGCCTGTCTTTGCTTTGCTTGTGTCTCTTCCCCGCTACCCCAGTCGCACAAACACCCATTGACCATCAAACGGTGAGTTCGGATTGGGCCTTGAACGCAGTTTGCGACGACGGCACCACCACCAACAACAGCCAGCCACCCACCCCGTCTCTTGCGCTCCCGTCTCTTGCGTCGTAAGCCAACCGAAACGGAGCGTTGGTGATTCTCGCATTCTGGCCTCTTTTGCCAAATGAGATGGCAAAGCTGCCTTCTCGCGCCGTGACTGGTCCCCTTTCGTCAACGGCATTATCCCATCCCGCTTCGGCATTGTAGGGAACATCGGATATCCAGCAACGAAAACCGCTGGCTCGCGATATCGCAGTCACAAAAGGCATGATGCAGACATGCAAGGGAAAGCCACATCAATGGCGTACGCAGGGGCAAAGCAATCGGATAAGAGTCCCTTTCGCCTCCGGGTATTGGGGAAGCGGAAGACAGGCAGTGGCCCGTGGGCGATCGACTGGGCGGCAGGCAGGCAGGCAGGCCAAGCAGGCACATCAGATTCCATGGAATGCTGCACCCAACACACAGTTCCTTTTTCGTCCTTGTTTCATGTCCATTAAACAAGACGACCTGAGGCGGGTGATGGAGGGGAAAATGGGCGACGGATGCTACTCCGACACATGCCTGACTGACGGGCACCAGCGCGACGGCTGCATTCGAGTCGCATCCGGTCCGTGCCAGCGACGGGACTGAGTCGACGATCAAGTGCAAAAGTTCAGATTGAAACGCCGGCCCTGACATTTGCGAACGCGCCCTTTCCCGTTCCATTCACGCGTGGCAGTATCCGTGGGCCGTACACCGTACCTACGGAAAATCACACACCGGGATTGCAAAACTCCACGACACGAAAGCGACTCAGCGAACGACAGAGAGGGATGGACGGAGGGAGGGACGACTACACACCACGCAACACGGGTATCGACACCGAAAACGAACGCCACACCGAAGAAACAAACCGCCGCCTACGCCCTTCAACTGAGGGAGGAAGGCCGCGTCCAAACAAGCGTCGGCGACTTGCTTGGGCCTGGCGGTTGTTTGTCGTCGCAGGGCCTATTTTGCCAAACCGCAGGTGAAGCCCGAGCCAAATCTCTTTTTGCAAAACATTCCCAGCCAAGCCCATCGCCAGCCATCGCAGCCATCGCCGGTGCCAGGCGCCCGGTCGGCCGTTCTTCTTTCTCTTTGCGGATTTCGTGATTTTAGCCTGGAAAGCCCATTTGTGATCCCTAGCTCTCCCCTAGCTCCCAGCTCTTCCCGCTTGCCCGTCCGCGGCAACCTTGCCCCGGCCGCCGCTGCCCCTCCCCTGGCTGGCGCACCGACCGGGAGAATGGGAAAAGAAAAGAGGCCAGGCGAGATTGAGAGCTTCTAGAAGACCGCCGGGTCCCCTTGTCCAAAACGCGAAAGCTCCTGAATGTGATTTTGGCCGGCAGCGGCTTGCGGGTCCCGGAGCAGGGGGTACTCTTCGGGTCTAGCTCCTCCTTCTCGATTGCTTCCTTCTTCACGTTTGTTTTTTTTCCATGTGGAGTTCCTTCCCAACTTTCCGGCTCTTGTTCGGCTCCTCCCCAGCCGGATTAGTTACCCGGAGAGACGGAACCAGATTGTGCACGGCCCGAAACGGCTGCATAATTAAATTCCAGCGCGACGGATTTCTCTGGATGCAAACGGTAGAACTCGCGAAACGGTCGAGTGGTGGGTTCCGTCGTCCGGCACAGAACGTTGAAGATGCCGCAAGCGCGCTTGGGAGATTGAGTATATTGCAACCGCACTTTCCACCCTCTGGCATTCGAGAGACTCAGACTGAACCTTGATATTGGAGAGAATCAGGCTGCATACGGATATTGTTTGGCAGAGAGGGAAGCGGGTTAAGCGGGTGCACTGCACTGCGAGAAGACGTGTTCGCTTACCATGCAACACGATTCGTCAAGCTGCGAGTCTTCAGTGGTTGATACACCTGCGACCAATGGAGAACCTTCATCCGTCATCACGGTCCGCCTTGATTGGTGCGAATGCAAAGGGATCTTCAACAGCTTCAGCAGGCTGTGGACAATTATCTGCAGGGACTTTTCGTAATGTTACTTACGTCGGGCTGATCTGATAACAGCTCTCTCTCATTGAGGGGCGGCCAAGAGGAAATCCCCGCCCAACCCCTCACTCGCGAGCTGTAGACGGGTTGATACTGAGAATGGGTTGGAAATCAGGCTGTAGATGCGTGTTCAATAAAATCACTAGACCAAGTCGCCGCATTCCGCTTGCTGATCTGCTCCTGCAGCAACCACTGATATTGCAAACTTCAAGTCTCACGACATCATGCCGGTCCCGTACGAGATATCTGAAGCCATCCGGCACAAGAAGGCACAGTACTGCCGGTTCGCCGACTCCAACCAATGGCATCTCTTCGACGGCATCGCCCTCCCTGACGCGACCTTCAAGTTCTTCGACAAGGAGGGGGCGCTCGTGAAGCAGGGCGACACGGAGATGACTTTCGACAACCTCGCCGCGTTCCAGGCGCACTTCAGCAAGACGAACGCGCACATTGACGCGGTCCACATGGTGAACGCCGGTGAGCTGGATATGGTCGCCGAGAACGAGGTCAAGGCCATCTTCACGGTGGTCTACCATGGAGGCGCGCTGGATACGGAGGATGGGCTGCACTCGACCGGAGCAGGGCATTACCACGAGGTGTGGAAGAAGGTTGGGGATGATTGGTTTCTGAAGAGTTTGTGGATGAAGAGGATTTATTGGAAGGTTCAGGTGATTGCGTGAGATTGAGGGTGAGGTGTTGAGGATTCTTATCTTGACTGTTTTCGGTTCGTCAGGTTTTATTCGGGAGGATCGTGTGATAACTTGCTTTCAAACGTTCAATACGACAACTATCATGATCAATCTCGATGATCTGAGTACAATTCTCCTTTCCGGCAAATAGTAAACATTCCCCAGTGTCTGGAGGTAGAGAAGATCGGGAGATCGCGATGTCGCGAGGTTGGGCCCGTCTTGGTGTTCGACGCATGCTCGATCTGTAGTCCAGCAGGTGTTCAGTATTGCTGTATTTGTCTGGAACTGACGCATTTAGCCACATGGGCAATGTTTACCCATTCTTATTGAGCCGGTGCGAGATCACCCGAAAAAGGTTTGTGACATCCCCAGATGTTTGTAGTCTTCAGTATCGCCATCATCCTGGAGACACCATTTCACAGAAAAAGGATGTATGATGAAAGCCATTGGTACAGAGTGTGATATGTTGAGACATTCAGTGACATACATCTTTTGGCAACTGCCTCAGAAGTTCTGGGCTATTGGATTTCTTTACAGCCTAAAATTTCGAGAGCGAGAAAACCCATATCGTTCAATTTGCGAACATTGCGATATGGCACGCAGACTGATGCCCTCGGAAGCCCACAGAAGTGAAAGTTGACATTTATAAATCAAGACCAGAACTAGCAAGATGACAACCGAGACTAAACCCAAATCAGACTCTGCCAACAACATGTCTGCCTGTTGACGTCTATTCGATATCAACCCCACGATACTCGAAATACTCATTGAATTCCGGATCTCCAAGCAGCAAGTGGGCCAGATCCTTCTCGAAAGAGATGGCAAACTCCGGGCCCTCGTCTGACTCCGGAGAAGGGTCGCGAGGAGGATAAATCACAACGACACCCTCAGTCACTTGGTCCATCAAATGCCTGTAACCGGAAGGCTTCCCGAAGCCGAAATCCGCAGACACAATGTTGGCATCACGGTGATCCGTGTGTAGAATTGACATTGGTGGAAAGGAATCAATCCGGATGTTCATAGTCGCCTTCTCGCGCACCAGCGCAACCTGCTCGAGCATCTTGTCCAAGCCTTCCTGGGTAACACTGTCAGTCAATTGACGGATATATCGAGCCACTCTCTCCAGCGGCCACTCAGAGATGAGTTCCTTCGCGGTTGGCTGTTCGACCGGCGCACTGGCGGTGGCCGCCACGGACATGACGTTCTGCTGGATGCGAGCTGGCAGTGGCGGGGAATGCATTCGACGGCGCATATCGACAGGCTCGCACCAAAAGATCTTGGAGTCTGGGTCCGTCTTGAAGGTTGGAGCCCGTACACGCACCGTATGCCGCCAGAGGAAGGCGGCGAATGCATCGTACGTTGATATCCACGTGCCGTCCTTGGGCTTGGCGAGCTCCTTTAGCTTCGATGCCTTACTCTTGGGTAGATGATAGAGGAGATCGACGCCGCCTTTGTGGCCTGGATGGCGCTCTGGAGGGGGCCGACCGCTGACTCTGAGCTCCTCAGGGGGATCGGGCTTGGTGAGGCGGGACAGATCGTTACAAGCTGGATCCCAAGAGGGGAACGGTGTGCCGTGGACGATGGCGTAGCAATTTTCTGCCAGTTGATGTGTGAAGCCGGCCCAGCCCATAACATCGTTGGCGTAGTGATGGTTGTGCATGTTGAAGACAAGGCCTCCCCGAACAAAGTTTGCTTTGAAAGCCGAGATTACGGGGCTGTTGTCTGGGTAGGCTTCAGGCTTTTCGCCGTATGTCATGGGCTGGACGCTCCAGAGCCTCTGGTCGCCAAGTGTGACGGCGTTGTAGTTTGCCTGGTGGATGTCGTCGAAAGATGGGTATTTCGTGGCGTCAGAAGGGTCGTCAAGCCACTGGACATGGAAGGCTACGATGCTGTCCTTTCTCTTGGTAAAAGAGTGACCGCCCTCGGGATCTTTCTCGATGGAGCCGTTCATATGCCGTGCTTGGGCGAGGGTCCGTTCGAGACCAGCCTTGAGGATTTCGACAACTCGAGGCTTCGCCTCGTCTAATAGCCGGAAGAAAACGGCATAGTTGCAGTAGACTTGCGCTGTGAGATAGTCGAGCGTAGAGACTTTGAATTTCTCTTCTTCGGGATCGTTTTCCCACCCGCAAGGGCGAAGGTGGTAAATTTGTTGTTTCGCCATATTTTGCGTGAATGGGTTGGGGCAGGTCGTTAGTTCTCTCGAGATTTCTTACCAAATATGAACAAGTCGAAGTTGTGGAAGATCATATGTAAAATCAAACGGCATTGGTGTTTGTATTGGCAGCATGCGTGTTATGCTACATAGCCACGAAGCAACCGCAGTCTACCTCCTTGCTTCTTCGTTGGCTCGGTCCAATGCCTACTCTACTCGTCTTCCTGTACAGATGCAGACTTGCCAATGAGGAAGGTGTCAAACTGCACCAACACGGCTTGAGTGGCTAATGCCTTCAATGACAATTCAATATTTACGACGATCATGACCAAAACTGGAATTTTCTGGCATGTACCTGGGGAATGATGGCCTATTTGGGCGGCTGGAGACTCCTGAGGGCTCACGATTGATGGACATCGCAAGGCTGGCGAACGGGAATAAAGTGTTGACTCCGCGATCCCACTCTGAGTGGATGTTTGTTGGTCACCGGTCACCCTAAAAGAGTTGATGCCAACACTTGGCACTTCAACCCCACTTCATAGGCTCATGCAGTACTGACAGCATGATTTATTGTTCACTTTCAATGGTACATTGGGTCTTTTACCGGCGCTGATAGTTACGGAGTGGAATTCGTATGTGGAGGCGTCAACCCCTCCAGGCGTTGTCGAGATGCATATCACTTGTCTCAGAAATTGTTCCCAATATTTGACATCATACGAATTAAGATTTCAAGTAGAGTGACAGGTCCCCATCCTGTCTGGGCTTATAATCATTGGTTGACCAACGTGAAGAAAGTTGGTGGGCCCATCAAGAAGGCATAAAAGACTTCGCAGGAAGATAATATATACTTCGGATAGAGTAATCGACACAAAATAGATATGAGTAGCGGTGAGGAGGTTGAGATGAAGCCAGTATGTCATGAAAGCAGAACCAGTTTCCTCTAGCTTCAGGTGTAACATCCATTGACACGATATCTAAGCCTTAGATACTGGATCTATTTGAAATTATAAAGGTCAACGCATCGTCCAGATTCATGTCTCCCGCTTCTCCAAGCGACGCGATGAGGTTGACTTCACGGCCCCCGAATTCTTAGAATGGTATAACTTGAGAGATGCAGACGGGACACCGAAGAGGGAGATTTACCGATGCACACGATATATCTACAACTCATCCCTTGGGTCTATCAACTTCCCGACTTGCCCGTTTGCAGACGACCCAGTCGCCTGTAATTCCGCCGGGGTCTCTGCTGCGCAAGAATCCCTTGGTGTTCAAAATGCCTCCGTTCGGGTGGTTGATAGCCTCTTCCAAGGCTCGACCGGCGGTGTGCTTCCCCTCGGCTTTGGCGGCATCTCGGCCTTCAGCAACGTTGATTTTGAATCGTGGCCATCTACTACCAAATACCCTCACTTCAACTGTACCCTATCACAGCAAGGTCTCTCTGCAGAAATATCCTGCCACGAAACACTAGACACGCCCATCCAGTCCGAAACTCTCCAAAGTATCAACGTAACAAACTCCGCCCAAAACGCAAATATGCTGTTGGTCAAGTTTCCCGCACAGAATGACTACTGTGACTCCACGCATACCTGGCTTGTCCCGAGTCTAGGTATCGTGGCACCCACCTTATGCCAACCGGACGAAGAGACTAAGAAGTATAAGCTGTTTCTGGCGTCATTTGGGAAATATTCAGCACTACCCAACATGGCGTGTTCGATCGAACCGATCATCACGAAGAACGTTGTGACCTATTTTACAACCACCACGACAGGAAAGTGACCTCATCGATTCTGTACTCAGTCTCAATACGACAGGGGAGAACTCAAGAGACTTTTCCTACCGAACCGCAATCGAAGATGTGTTACGTGGGATCGTCGAATACGAGGGCAGTACATTGCGTATCTACTACTCAGCGAATGAGGCAGCCGGTCGCAGCACTTTGAATGGCACGTATAATGTTTTTCGTATGGGGTATCACCATACGCAACTCACGTCTCTTCTTACCCTGCTCCCATTCATCGCATATCTGGTATTTGTCTCAGGCTGGTATACAATGAAGGGACTTAGGACTGGTGTAGCGATTGACGATACGTTCGATACAACAGACAGTGCTGCACTGGTTAGTGCAGCAGCAGTGGGAGCTTCATCCGGAAAGCTTGACTTGGGAACAATGAAGGAGCTTGGAGAAAATCATAGCCTGGTTCGGGAAGTTAAACTTAGGTACACTGGCAGAAAGGGATCAGTGACCGCTGAGGTGGCGGAGAGCAATGAGGTTTCTAGCATAGATGCGTAGATAATGATAACATTTAGCGCATCACTCTGCTGGCGAGATGAAGTACCACTGAAAGCTGCCGACATTGCCTATGGCCTTGGCTACTGTGCTGAAATTCACGTCACCATTCACTTGTGTGGCTATCCTCCCATTCAACTGGGAAACACGTCTTCACGTGTACCAAATCCGATGACCAGACGAACAAGGCCCCATGGCGGCGGATATCTCATCTTTGACAAAGTTTACGTCGCGGCAGCATGTTCTTTAGTGAATACGCCCCCACGGCCATATTCAACTTGTATAGCCTCGTGAGGACTTGATGAATTGTATGTCTTTCGACCTCGTCTACTCCAAACGCCAGACGAAACATGAAGATGATATATGGGAACAACAAACGGATGAGTCTCAGCGAACGGCCGAGATGATAACCGGCTCAAGCCCCTCGGTGCCGAGCGCCTACGCGACGCTATATCAAAATTTCCCATGCAGAACCTTCCACGCAACCGAAACGCCGTGTACGCCGTCTGTGTCGAGATGCAGAGAAGAAAGAAGCGCCGCCCTTAGCTCCTTAAGGCTTCAAGCCTGTTGCGCATCTGGTCCATCATAGCCTCGGCATCCTCCTCTTCCTCCTCGGTCTCGACCGGCTTGGGCTCCTGTGCAACGGGTACGGCGGGGAGCTGTTCCTTGGGCATGCGGTCCTTCAGGATCTCTCCAAGAACCTTATCGACCTCACCCTCGGCCTCCTCCTCTTCCAGCTCATCCATATCCTCTGGCAAGCTCTCGCCAACCATCTCCTCGATGATACCAGCCTTCATCAGCTCCGCGCTCAATTCCTGCATCGTGCCAGCCAATTCGGGTAGTCGGATCAGGCGGTTGACGTCCTTCATGACGCCAACGCTCGCGCGGATGCTACCCTCGATCTTACGCACGGCAAAGGCTTCGTTGACCTGCATCTGGACGCTGTTGAGCTGGGCCTTCGAAGTAATGAGTCGAGAGCTTGTTTTTCGTGCGCGGATGAGCTCGCGGGCAAAGTCGCGGGCTTCTTTTTGTGCTTGCTTCGCCCGCGTGGGGTCTCGTTGGGCTCGCTTATCGGCTTGGACGATGAGTTGCTTCGTCTTGGCTTCGACTTGTCTGACTTGGTTGATGTCGCGGTCTAGTTTGCGGATGTTGGAGCGCATGAGAGCATTGCACTTTCGCAGCTGCAGGAGAGGAGTCTGGTCAGTGCCTTTAGTATTTCGTCGGGCGGTAGAGCTGCCGTACCTGTTGCTGCGGATCGGGCTTGACGAACAGCGATTTGAGGGTCTCCATGATGGGCTGGGCGGCGGACAATGGCCGGTGAACGCCGTCAATGTGTGGAGATTCAGCTTCGAGGCGTAGGTGCGAGCGCGGGACTGATGGATGCGTGATGGGCTGTTGCCAGCCTCGTCTGTTGGCGGGTTCGATAAGCGCTGCCTTGGGTCTGGGAGCGATGTGTCGTCATTCCCTGGGTCGCTGCCTCAACTGATACGGGCGGTAGTGGGGGATTGTCGTCACGTGGAGACGCTGCAAATCGTATGCGCGTAAGAAGGAAAGTATGATACCGGGGCGCGTCCGTGGTAAACCAAGCGAGTCACCAATCGGGGCGAGAAAACCTTCGGCTCACTCTGAACAGGCGGCTTGGCGGAAAGCTCGAGAAACAAACTTGGGTCTAAGGTTACAGCTGCTGCTGGTTCATCCTGTCGACTTGTCACATCTCTCGGCAAGTGCAGAATTATCAGGATTGGGTTGTTCTGACGCAGCAAGTGACATCTCCATCTGATGGTATTCTACGGACACGCAGAGGAGTCCAAGTTGGCAGGACACATACCGCGGTAATCCGCCTCGCCCGGCAATGTCGTATGCTAGCAAATGAGGCCCCGAGGTGGGGGACCCACGATGATCTCACTGCACTTTAGATCTGATGGGGAAAAAGACGAGATGAAGCTTGATGACAAGCACGTTCTGTCTCAGATGGAGCAAACGGTAGTCCGACAGCACGGTACCACAACAAGGCACTTCATGAATAGCAGGTGAATATTTCGCGAACGCCGACGAAAGTAGCAGCGCAGAAAACAAAGCTGTTTCGTGTGTGTACCGTGTTTCTCGCATGTTGCGCCTCACTCTGAGCTGCAGCAAGCACACGCACGTCCAGCGAGCCAACCCAACTCAGTGCGATGGCATGCCTATTTCGTGGGGTTGCAAGGGGGGCTGGAAGTCTACCGCAGCAGCAGCGCGCCCAGCCAGCACTGAGATGCCTCTTCCAATTGCAAGCAAACGTCAGCAGAGAGGGGAAAGAGCAGGGAAGGAGGTACTTTCGGCTGAGCGGGCCTCGCCCCAGAGATCGAAGTACCTGGCAGCCGCTGGAAAAGCAGGCGCGAGGCTCAGCCTGCAAGTCCAGAACTTCAGCCAGGTACCTGGCGCAGAATACGGATACCTAGACGAAAAAAAGCGAGTGAAGGATCTGACTGGCAGGCGGAAGGGCATGAATGGCAGACAGGCAAACTGGAAAGAGCGCGCCAGAAGAGGGGAAGGGAGTGGAGGGGATAGGATTCCTAAGCGTACAGTGCGTTCAGCCCTGCCAGGGTCCGGTCCGCAGCGGCCCAGTGCAGCACTACTGACCTGAGTACCTAAGGTGAGGTGACTTGCTCAGGAAAGGTACTGCCAGCCTAGGTAGGTACAGCTCGTGGCACTTGGTGGGCTGCCGTTGCCTGCTGCTGCCGTTCCAAATCTTTCGAGCGCCTTCTACAATTGCCCGTGATCCCCTAGGCGGTAACTACAACTGGAACCCACCCCGACCTCACCCCAACACCAGGGCCCAGCCTTTTCCAAGCGTAGCCTCACAAACCCCTTCTTAGCTTCCACTCTCCTCCCCCTCGCACTCTCCGATCTTGCTCCTACTTTATTTCACACCCCTACCTACCTTACACTACAAGTCAGTCCTCCTCTGTCACAACAACAAACCACCTCACGTGTTAACTCTTCTCCCAGGCTATATTGCAACTTCTCTTGCGATATCTGCGAAACGTTTGCGCACCCGCGTAAAATAACTACCCCTCATCCCCCGTCATAGCTCCTTACACGAATCACATCCACCACCACCAAAATGTCCGACACCACGGCAACTCCTGAGGGTACGTGCAAAACTTGACTGTCGCATTCGAGGTGCCAATCACCGCGCCTTAAACTCCGACAGCCCATTTACCGACTTTGCCGTTGTGTGTGCGCAGCAAGCTAACAAGTCTTCAACAGTTCTCTGGGCCCAGCGCTCCAGCTCCTCCGACGAGTCCAAGAACTTCGTCTACCTGACCATCTCCGTCCCTGATGTCCCGGCCTCCAACCTCAAGCTCGACCTCAAGCCCACCGGCCTGAGCTTCAAGGGCCACTCCGACTCTCTGAAGCGGACGTACGCCCTCGACGTTGAGTTCTACGCCGAGATCGACCCCGCCGAGAGCAAGATCAACCACACTGGCAAGAACGTCGAGCTCAAGCTCCAGAAGAAGGAGCTCAAGGAGGAGTACTGGCCCCGTCTCCTGAAGGAGCCCAAGAAGGTTCACTACCTGAAGACCGACTTCGATAAGTGGGTCGACGAGGACGAGCAGGAGGAGGCTGGCGAGGAGGACTTCTCCCAATTCGGTGGCATGGGTACGTGAAAAAAGCTCGAACCCCACGGCGAACCCTTCTGCCCCGCGGTGGCGGGGCTCTCCGCCGATTTTCCAGTTTCCGAGTTTCCACGTTGCTGACATATGCATTTGCAGGTGGCATGCCCGGCATGGGCGGCGCTGGCGGCGACTTCGGCGGCATCGACTTCTCCAAGCTCGGAGGCGGTGCCCCGGGTATGGAGGACGTCGACGACGACGACGAGGATGACGATGACATGCCCCCTCTGGAGGGTGAGGAGGACGACAAGGCGGCCCCGGCCGCCGGCAAGGCTGCCGAGAAATAAGCTGGTTCATTATTCCCCTCTTCACCTGTCGAACCCACTTCGAGAGATCGACTTTTCCCGGTATCAGAGCCCAGCTCCTTGGCAAAAGCAGCAGGCGTTTTCGGCTCTTACTTGCGGGACCGCGGAATCTACGCTCTAGACTCATGACCTGAATGTACTCTTTGATCAAGATGAAAAAGAAAGATGTTATGTGTGATGTGTGTTTTGGGGGGTTACGGACGAGAGGCAGAGAGACAAGGCATTCGGCGAACAGACATGACTGTTCTCTGTCTCTTCATCCAAGGATTTTAGCTGAGGCAGCATTCGGTTCTACCTGTACTAGGCCATTGCGGATGGTGTCGTCTGGGGACTAGGCCGATTCATCAAGTCAATTCAGCGATCTTTCTCCGCCCATTCTGTTCATGTGTGACTTGCCGAGGCAATGCTTTTGGGCACCTACGTGATGACGTCTGACCTGCTGTCAATATTTACAGTCTCACAACAGGCTGGAAAACTCTGCGACATCAATATCAATGATATTTGGCAGATCATCTACTGAAGACCGACGTAGGCCTCGCTTGCTGGCATCAGTCTTACGAATCTCGCGTCATCATCACTTTCAGAATCACTCAGATTTGAACTCATGTCGGGGGCTCGGCGTTTTGTGTATTAAAGTCGCTCTGACTTTGGGGTTTGTTATAGTACATGCCCTGCTACCGAACAACCGGGGCGAAGCAAATGTATATGTCGGTACCTTGTCAGTTCTTTCGAACCGAGAGCACCATTTTGGTAGTTTTGGGTTGTGCCGAAAGGCTGGGGAGGCAATCTGTAAGTTTGAAAACCAATGCGTGTCAAAATCAAAGCCAGAATCCCGTAGCCTCCACTCGTCTACTCCCTTCCACCATTCTGTTGTGAGAGTTTCACGAAACGCGCAAAAAGGAAAGATCAAAGGCGCCCCCACGCGTTGTCCTTCTTCGACTTTCTCAGTACCTGGCATTCGTGGGCGTATCCGAGGCCAAGTTTATGCTCGAGCTCGGTTTACATGATGTCCTCCTCCATGGCGGCATCGCCGTTCGTGGCAGCCGGGGCGGGAGCCGCAGCATTCTCGTTGTTAGCGTTGCCAGACTCGAAGTAGTCAGCCATCTCGGAGTCAAGTTCCTCCTGGGTTTTCTTGGCGGGACGACCAGAGCGGGCACGGCGTGGCTTCTTGCCAGCCTGAGCATTTCCAGCAGCGGGACCCTTGCTGGCATTGGCATTGCGCTTGTTGATGGCAGCCGACTTGGGCTGAGCCTTGGGCTGACTGCGAAGCTGTTAGTATCGAGCCGGGAATGATTTGCTCATACTCTACTTACGAAGTGCGCTCAGCAAGAGTCTTGGAGGGGGGGATGACGTTGGCAGCTTGAGAGGCACTGACAACAATCTCAATCTGTCGTTTGTTAGGCGGGTTCATGAATAGCAGCATCGTGTGTATCACGTACCTTGATGGGGCGGTTGTCGACGAGAAGACCGTTCAGCTTCTGGAAGGCCTTGCTAGCGCCATCCGCGTCACGGAAGGTAATGTTCGCGATGCCGCGGCTGACGGAGTTGGGTCCGTAGGAGATTTCTACCCTCTTGATGGGTCCAACTGAAGTGAGGAAGTACTCCTGATGGAAGTCGATGTTAGTTATCCGCAAGCGCTGTATATCAATCACAATCGTCGTCTTCTGAATCCGCGCCGGGCAGGGCAAGAAACCGAGAAATCCAAGAATCGCCGGAGCATGGGACAATGGAAGCGAGCAGAGCAGTGAGCGTTAGTACGCGTGTCAGCGTCCATCCCCACAGATGCCCAGCAAAGTCAAATCGTCTCGCGCGAAGTCGCCGTCTTGTCGAAGGGTATCACCCCAATTCGGAAAAGAAACAGTCGCAGCTAAGTCTCGGAGCAGTCGGCAATGGCACCTTCGCCAATAGGCATCTTTCAGCCATATTGATCGCTCGCACAAATCCCCCAGATCCCGCTAGAATTCGAGTCATGCTAGGTCGGCGTATCGATAGCGGTGAAGCTAGATATTGGAGCCATCCTAGCCTGTACTGCGCTGATGCTCACTGCTGTGCTCGCTGAAAGGGCTTCATCTCGTGTTGCTTGCTATGCTTTGTGGACAGCATTCGCGAACCAAGCTGTTGATTGAACATGACGTGACTACCAACGTCCCATTTGTTGCAGTCTGCGCTATCAATCTTCTGAGGTGCTGACCAGGCTACCCGAGATGACGATTTCATTGCGCGACCAGGGCGTGCTCAACTTCCGATGGGCTCTGCACCGTATCTCAGGAATTGCAGCATCGAGGAAGGAGTCTTGCGGTATCTTGACATGTTCCAGCTGGCAAGTGGCAATGGCCACCATGGGTTTCATCTCGCTACGGCGCCGGTAGGGAAAGAGGACGGGCGAGAAAGGACAGGTCGAACAAAGTCCGAGGGCTGAAGAGCCTATCGGCAACATACCTTGATCTGTTGCTCGGAGACATCCTTGGGCTGCGGAAAAGTCAGTAGGAGTTGGTAGCGATACGGGCGTGCGACTTACCAGGTTGCTCACGATGACCTTGCTGTCACCAGAGCCTTGCGAGGGCTTAGCGGCGTTGGGCTTGTTTGCGGCGGCACGCGCAGGCTTCGATGTCTTCTGAACACCGCCGACTGGGGCAGCGGCCGCAGGGCGACCAGTGGAACGGCGCTGGGGGCGACGACGGGGACCGCCGGAGGAGCGGCGCTGAGTGGAGAGGATCTCGTCAAGAGACTGGTCAAGCTTGCCAGACATGGTGAATGTGGATTTGGGGGACGTTGGTTTGAGGGTATAAATGATTTTGCTGCGATGTATTTGCGCAGCTGGGTCGGTCGCTTCTGACGAGTAATCAGGCGATGGGTCGCGATGCGATGCGGTGTGTGGTGTTTTGAAGGAGAGGATCTAAGTTTGACGCGTTGAAAGTTTGCGCGAAGAGCTTTCTGGTGAGAAGTGGTCGGTCCGGAAAAAAAGCAGTGAGGAATACAGAAGCTGCGGAGCAACAGTGGTAGCGCAGCGATGGAATGAAAAATTATTATGTGAAAGTCGAAGTGGTCGTGACGGTGGTCGAGATTTATGAGTCTTGTCTTGGGAAAGGAGAAGTGGTTGCGGAAGGAGGATGGAACAGTCGGGCGCGGGCGAAAAGGGAAAGGAGGCAGGCACGCGGGACAGTTTGCCAGCGGAGCGCCTGAGCCAAGCAGGACCAGGCTGCGGCGCGCCTGACAAAAACAAGAGGGGCCTGAGGCGGAGGCGTGATTGGATGGGCCTAATCTAAATTGGGAAAGACCCGCTTGAGCTGTTGCCTTCCGACCCAGCGGAGGAAGCAACGGTCCGCATCTAAGGCCGCACATCCTTCAGCTGGACCTTACGCGGCGTCCACCTCATCTTACCCCTCCGCAAAAGCTTATCTTACCCCCCCCTATAGACGCCCTATAGGTTTAAGCCTATTTTAGGTATAATACTAGTATTAAGAGAGATCTTATAAATATATTAGTAAATAAAGTTTAAAGTACTTTTTATATTATAAAGAATATATAAATTAATAAATAAATAGCTTAATTTAAAATAAAGTATAAATTATAATCTAATTATATTTTATATAGTTTCAAAACTATTTTTGATAATAATTTCTTTAAATAGTTTTATATATAGATAGATAATTATCATAATATTTTCTATTCATAGCTAAATAATTATTATATTACTTATTATATACTTAGTATTAAATGAAAATTATATATATATTATAATAAGAATAACTAATAATATAGATATTTTAAAACTAATCTTAAAACTAAAATATTAAAGTAAAAGTATTTTATTTAAAAAAAAAGAAAGCTTTTAAGTTTATACCTAAAAATAAAGAATAATAAAAACTTACTATTTTTAAATAAGAACAAATAAATTAACTATAGATATATTTTTTTATAATATAATATTTGCTAATAATATACAGTTAATATTTTAAATATAGTTTAAAATATATTAAAGTTATAATATAAATATAGTTAAATTATATTTTAACTTACATATAAAGAATATATAAAAAGAAGGAGAAAAGTTATTATTATTCTTTTTCTTAAGAAATATAATATATTCAATTATTATTAAAATAGTATTTGTTATTCATTTTTCTCTATTTTTTAAATCATAAATCTAAATAACTACTTTCAATTTAAAATAAGTTAGTTCAAGGTTATTAGTTTATTTTATTAATATATATTTATTCTTTTTTTTATTCTTTTTTAGATTTATATTCCAAATTTAATTTTAATATAATTTAATAATTACAATTAATAGTTTAATATCTCTCTGAAACTATTAAACTTATTATAGCCTCCCCTATTATTATAATCTCTTTTATTAATATAAACTTATTTAGTAATATAAATAAAACTTTATTAAATTATATTTAAAGTATAATTAGATTATATTAAAATTTAGGTTTTATAGAAATAGAAATAAATTACTTTTTATTTGAATAAGATATTTTATAGATAAAACTATAGTAATAATAATAAAAAGCTAATTTTCTATTTTAATATTATTAATATTTCTCTTTTTTCTAATTAGAATATAATTCTAATATAATTTACTTAGTAATAATTTAAAAATCCTATTATATTATATTATTACTCTTTTATTTATAGTTTAAAAGAGAGTAATATTAAATTATTCATTAACCTATTTAAAAACTAAAAAGATATTAAAAGTTATGTTCTTAGTATTAAAAAAGCTTAGTTCTTCTTTAGATAAAACTAATTAAAACTTTATTTAATTATAATCAGATTCCTAATAAAATATAATTAATCTATATTTTAGAAATAATATGTAAGTATTTAAGTTAGTATTTAGCTTTTTAATAAATCTTATATTATTTTATAATATCAAAACTTATCTAAGTCTCTCTTTACTTTTATAGAGGTTAATTAAATTATTATTAAGCTTAGTTATTACTTTTAAGAAATAAAAAGTATGATAATTTAATTAGATTATATTAATAATATATTTCCAATATAATTAAATAACTTTAACATATTTTTATTTCCTCTCTTTTTCCTCTTAAGTTAATACGTTAATAATAGCTCTTTAAAGCTAAAATAAACTTTAATACTAAAATAGTTGTTGTTAATACTAAATATTAAGCTTATTTTAATATATATAATATATAAACTATAAGCTAGAATAAGTTTTAAAACTTAAAACTTAAAATATATATATTTATAGAAATATATTTTAAATATAATATTAATATGATTTAATTTATTATTAAACTACTATAAATTTTAAAATGAACTAAAACTAATTAAAACAATATTAATAGCTAGTTATATATATGATTTAAGCAAGTAGAGAAGGGGTAAGATAAGCTTTTATAGAGGGGTAAGCTGAGGTGTTAACCAGACCTTACGTAAGGTGTAGGCGCACCTCTACAACTTAAGTCTTGGTGCTTGCCCAACTCATCAAGCTTGCCCATGTTCATGATAGCAGCACCATTTTGGCCTCAAATTGTATGCCCAAGGCCACATCACTCTAGTTTTCTGAATTTGACGACGTTTTGTGTTCGAATCGTCTTTGAAGCAAATCCGAGGCAGCTTTGCTTCAATAGCTTCGAGGAAAGAATGTGTAAAAGCTGTATTGTTGAAACCGACGTTTCTTTCTCTACATTTTGGTACTACCATGTGCAAAAAATCTTACCAGTCTCTTTGGTTAAGCGTGTCATCCTTGTGCAGGGGCCATGCTGATCTTCTCCGTATCGTTACAATTTGACCATATGCCCGCAGGCGAAAATGACAGTTTTTTGCATTATAAGGCTGACGGGTCGACGAAGGAGCAGCTGACAACACCATCTCAGGCGGCGTACCGCTAGGCTAAACAATGTCAGTCATCCAGGGTTTGTCACGTCAAAGTTCCGAAAAGGTTCCTATGCTCAAATTTGTGCTTGAAATATGTAGACCATGCGACATCTGCTGTCGCAATAGGTATATCAGACCCCGTCGTCTCATGAAGTAGACTGCCGTGAAGCGTTCTATCGCTGCTGTGCCTTTTGCTTGTAGTTCTTTCACACATGGAGGGTCTCTGCGGCATCCTCTGTCCGCAGCATCCTACCATCCCCCGATCTCCTGATGTGATGCCTCGAAATTGGACGTCGTCTTGTACCGCACGACGCTCGAAGTAACGTAGATACTTCAAGAAGCCGCCGCGGATTATCGTACAATCAATTGTTTGTTCCTTGCTCTATGTCCCGACTGGCGGTAAGCCGACATTATTTATGAAGAGCCCTTGACCTTGGCGGGCTTCTCTTGGGTCTTGTCGTTTTCCTTGGAGTTGACCTCAACGAAGTGGTAAAGGATGATCAATACCATGGCTGCGGAGCCAAGGAAGATCGCAAGGCGGTAGAGATCGTTGTCGGAAATCATGGTGGACGAGGAATTGGCTGCGCGACAGCAATAGGGGTGTACGTCGAGGATGGTAGCTTTGGAGGGTAACTGTTCCAATGGGTCAGCTCATTTTCCGTCATCCGGTAAAGCAATACGAAGCAGGTCCTCTTGACTTACGCTGAGATTTTCCGACTCGAAATGCGACGAATTGACCAGCTTCTACGACGTGTTGCTGAGAAATGGTTGCGCCGCACACATGGGTTTGAGGTTGGTGTTGAGCCGAACGGGACAGGTAGACAATTGGAGCTCGCCGCGCTAAGGCCTGCCGCCGAGTGACAATGAACTTGGGTCCTCCGCAGTAAGTGAGGTACGTAGACGGTAGCGCATCCCAGTCCCGGCGTGAGCCAGGCTTCCTTGACGCTCCGCCCCCACCAACGCAAGCCCTTCACGTGACCCGCCCACTGTGACTTGGACTTCTGACTTCATCCTGCCTCACACTCTGCCTGGATTCCTCGAGAGCCGACTTTTTTTGCGTCTTGTCGATCGAAGCGGATCCTGCCTTCCTCGACACATCAAGGCAACCATTCCTATCGAGACCTCCAAAAACCTCCAAACCCGACCGACACAGTCCTTACAGAAGCCTCCGGGCTGCCCCCGCCACAGTTTTCTAGACCCCGTCGAATACCCCGCCAAGATGCCTCCCAAGAAGAATGACAAGGGCGCTGCCAAGAAGCCGTCGGCTTCCAAGGCGGTGGAGGACAAGACCTTCGGCATGAAGAACAAGAAGGGTGGTGCCGCTCAGAAGCAAATTGCTCAGATGAACGCATCTGCGAAGAACGGCGGCAGCGCTGACCAAAAGCGCAAGGAGGCGGAGAAGGCGCAGAGGGAGAGAGAAAAGAAGGCCGCGGAAGAGGCGAAGAGGGAGTTGGACCTCCTCATGAACAAGCCTGCTCAGATTCAGAAGGTTCCGTTTGGCGTCGATCCCAAGACTGTCGTTTGCATTTTCTTCAAGAAGGGCAACTGCGAGAAGGGAAAGAAGTGCAAGTTTTCCCACAACCTAGACGACGAGAGAAAGACAGAGAAGAGGAGCTTGTACACCGATACCCGTAAGGACGAGGAAGAGAAGAAGAAGGCAGAGACGTCCGCCGACTGGGACGAAGAGAAATTGCGCTCGGTCGTTCTTTCCAAGAAGGGAAACCAGCAGACAACGACGGACAAGGTCTGCAAGTTCTTCATCGAGGCCATCGAAGACGGCAAATACGGATGGTTCTGGGTGTGTCCAAATGGAGGCAATGAGTGCAAATACAAGCATGCTCTGCCACCAGGGTAAGTGAAGTCGACGCAGAACCCAAGACCATGACTAACCTAACAACCTGTAGATTCATCTTGAAGACCAGGGAACAGCGTGCCGCCGAGAAGGCTTTGATGGACAAGTCACCCCTCAAGACTCTGACCCTCGAAGACTTCCTCGAGTCCGAACGACACAAACTTACCGGGACCCTTACACCCGTCACCCCCGAGTCGTTCGCCAAGTGGAAGAAGGAGCGCATGGACAAGAAGGCTGCTGAGGAAGCAGCCAAGAAGGCCAAGGAAGCTACTGGTCGTGCTCTGTTCGAGAGCGGCAACTGGCGCACAACAGAGGACGACGACGACGCCAGCGATAACGACGACGACGACGGTGTTTGGAACCTGGAGAAGCTGCGCGCAGAGACTCAGGCTCTGCGGGAGAGGAAGGAGGAGGAACGATTGCTGGTGCTCAATGGCGGCGTCTTGCCTCCAGCAGCGGATGCGGCTCCTGGGGCATCTGGTTCTTGAATTTTTAACCAGCGAGACAACCAAATTGTACACGCCTGAGGCGGCGAGCATCACCACGAAACGGGCCGATTCCGAGCACCTGAAGATCAGGTTATCCGGCGGCCATGTGGATGTGACGCCAAGCCACATGGCGGAACCGTCTAGGAACCGTCTACTTTTCAGCCCTAAGATCAATGAAGTATGACTACGTTCGCGACGTGCACACCACGTTATGAGGACCGAAATCGTGAAAGCTTCCACATTGAGAGGGTAAGGATGAGGGTCGCTAAAGGCCCCTACATACGCCAGACTAAATCTGTTGATTACTTCTCAATTACAGCGCAGGTCCCCCTTGACCTAGCTACAAGCACGCTATCTTAGAACTTCTCAACGTACGGTCTGATGTCAACCTCTTGCGTGAAGGCGGACCGGTGCTGTGTGTGCAGAAACCAGTAAGTGTCGGCGATCTGGAAGAATTGTTAGCTTGGAGTTTAGCTAGACAGATCGAGCACACGTACGGCCTCCGGTGATATCTTGCCGTCTTCCACGCCGTCGTTGACCTGGAACTCCTTGCCCCATGGCGTGTCGATACCTCCGTCGATGATGGCATGAGCCACGTGCACGCCCTTGGGGCCGAATTCTCGAGCCAGGGACTGACCCAGAGCGCGCATTGCAAATTTGCCCGCCGCAAAGGAGCCAAAGTAGGCAGAGCCCTTGAGCGAGGCCGTGGCGCCGGTGATGATGAGAGAAGGCGGGTGCGGGGAGTCTGCGACTGAGTCCAAGAGAAGAGGCAGCGTCTTCTGGGCAAAGGAGAAAAAGCCCTTCCTGCATCCGAGGTCAGCACGCTCACTAGCTTCGAAGGTGACATGTGCACGTACGGAGCGGCATCTAGACTTGTGTCAAGGTCCTTCTTCGTAAGCTCCAGGAAAGGCTTGCGAGCGAAGCCTGCGTTGACGTTGTAAATGGCAGCGGCGAGCCTGCTACCAGGCAATTCCTTCTTGATAGTCTCAAATGCGGCATTAATGGCGGTCTCGTCCGTCGCATCGGCCGTGATACCAATGGCCTTGCCTCCAGACTGCTTAATCTCATTCACAATGTCATTGTAGCTCTCTGGCTTGCGGGCGAGAAGCACAACAGGGTAGGTCTGCGCAAAGCGGACGGCAGCGGCACGGCCTGGCTTAGTCGTCAGCTTTACTATTCAGGCTCGTCATCGTAAGAATTGTAGATTACCTGTTCCGGAGCCGGCTCCGGCGATGATTGCGTAGAAGGACTTGGACGCCATATTTCTTGGTTGTAGGGACTCGACTATCTGTTCTAGGCGTTCAATGACTGGGGTCATTCGTTGGATAAGCGGGTGGTTATCGAATCGTCAGTTGCTAAGGCAGCTCAACAATTGTAAGACTGGCGAAAGCTCAGTGAGGGGTGAAGCATTTATGTCGATATGGGCTTCAGGCTAGACGCCGCAGCCCGGAAGGGGATTAGACCATTGGTCGGATGCATGACGGCATGTGCGGAGGGCCGAACGGGACGACCGATTAATAATACCCATCTCCTCCCTCCGGCTGCTCCAATTACGGCCTCCGATCCGGTCCGACCGAACACAATAGAACTCAATTCAGAGTTTATAAGCCCGAGATTCATGATTACAGTCACTCAATTCGATTTCTCATGGTCTCTTGATGTTCTCCTGTCACGATGGCTTACATGTGCGATTGAAGGCTCGCTCCATCTACCTGTCAGGTCATGATTTTCGGTGGTAGATGATGCCATGGCCAATTTGATGCCAAGATCCCCAACTGAATTGCATGTCAGTTCCATTTGAGCAGTCGTATATTTGTAGATCTTAGAAAGACGTTGTTTCTGGAAACAGATGAGCCTATCCGTAGAGCTGGAGAGCTGTCGCAGAGCGGGTGCAAACCGCAACTCAACCCGATTAGGTAACCCCGCTTATTTTTCCAGTGTGAGGCGCGCTGTCTACCTAACCTGCCAACGCGTCTTCACCTCACTCCATCAAACCCTTGGCTCAACGTCCTTCACCTAACGGTCTTTCAGTGAGTCTTATTGCTCAGCCATATCATTTAGTCTGAATCATACCAGGTCGTCTCTCGCCTTCGGCTACTCTCAACTCCCCAGAATTACCCCTCCAACTCATTTGATCCAAAATCGGTAGACTCTACGAGTTCGTCTGAGCTGTGATCCCTGGATCTCTCAACTTTGCTCAATTGCAATCTCACCAAGGTTGCCAAGATGCCGCCCCCGTTGCCTTCAGAACCGAAACCAAAGTACGGTATTTCTCGTAGTCACATACCTCTGCCTCGACAAGGCACGCTCGATGGATTCTTCAGCCGTCGTTCGGACAGCAATTTCCCACCGACCAGAACACCTGCTGCAGCGAAGAAGACATCCCCGGCAGAACCCGCACAGAACTCGAACTTCGCTGTCGTCATCAAGTCCAGTCCCAGGAAACCCTCGCGAACAACTCCAACAAGAACGGTAGAAGATGATGCTGACGACTTGGTCATATCCGACCTCTCTCCTCAATTCAGGAGGCTCGCAGCTCAGGCGGCTTCAAGCGTGAGCCTGTCCAAACCGGCCTTGCCAGACATGGACATTGATGAGCCGGAGGACGAGGTCGAGGCTGAGGCTGAGGCTGAGGCTGAGGTTGAAGCAGTGTCATCCGGCACGACTCCTCAGCCGCAGCCAAAGAGACGCGGCCGACCCAAGGGGGCTCTCAATAAGTTCCCACGGGATGCAGGAGAGGGACCAAGGAAACTACGCCCGGACAGGCCAAAGGCAGGTCAAATGTACGCGGGAAAGCAGAAGCGGCGTGGTCGACCACCAAGGGCAGCTTCGCCTCAACCGAGGGCCATCTACGAAGGTCTGAGTCCACACTTCAACGTCTACATTTGCGAGTGGGAAGGCTGCGTGGCTGAGCTTCATAACTTTTTTACCCTTCAGAAGCATGTTGCTGTAGCACACGCGAGAAACCCGCCGTATCGGTGCCAATGGGCCAAGTGCGCCAAACAGCAACCGCCTCGCGACTTCCCCACATCAGAAGACCTCGAATCACATATTGAGGATCTACATATGCTTCCTGTCGCCTGGCAGGTAGGGGACGGGCCGCAGGTGTCAGTCAAGCGATATGCTCCCAATGATGGGACCGAGCTTCCAGACTACCTTTTCGACGAGGCGGGCAACCAGATCACACCGTCGATCCAGGATCAGCGAGAGGAAGATTTCCTTACTTGGCGCAACAACAGGCGAAAACTCAAGGACCTTCTTCTGCTGCGAGATCAAAACCTGCCCAGTGAAGAAGAGGACAACGGAGCAGAGGACATGCCGGTAGACGAATGATGTGGCTGACCGTTGCACAACGTGACACATTTCGTCGTCGACAGCGACAAAAGGCATTGTAACCACAAGACGGGCGAGTTAAGCATGCTAGGAGGAACCAAGCTTCGTGGCATGGTTTCGGATGAGGGTTGACCGACTGCGCCTCCCTAGGGATAATGGGCACGTCAAGACAACGAGGGTGGCCGTTGCATTTTAGTTCCCCCTGGAAAAATTGGTCAGACGGGCACATTCGGATACTGGGAGAGGCCGCTCTGCGGTTTTCCACTTCCACTTCCCCAGACTGTGCGGTGGGCAGTTCGCCGGGGCATCGTGCTGACGGGCGGCGGAAGCGGATGCGCCGGAGAGTCTCGTCTCCAATATGGACGCATGGTTGATTGTTAGAAGGGATGACTTGGCATTGCGGCTCTTGCGAAATTGATGGTTCAGGTTGAAGCGGGACGGGAGCAGGGCGCCGCAGCGGATTGGAAATGCATTCGACCTTACATCATCGGCGGGGATGTGCGGCGTTTTGTGGGGGAGATTGCTGGATGTTGCATGAGGAGGCGAGTGGAGTGACACCTCAGCATCCAGGGAGGGCCGCTGTTCAATAAGAAACAAGTCCCAGCCCTTTCGCCTTCAGCAGGGGCGGCGGGAAAAGAGGCCGAATACCGGATCGCAGTTTGCATCGAGTTTCGAGAGTTTCTTGCATGGTGGCATTCAGGCAGGCGAGGCTGATTTGTTTGAGAGGTGATTTTCGCCAGGCTCAACACCCTCAGACGCAAGAAACAACAAAAATGACCTGAAGATGCGTTCTAGAATGTTTCCAGTGCGGCACGGTTGGAGGGTCGGCGGACGGACCACTGCACAGCTGTGAGATTGGGACGCCTGATTTGTCGAAGAGCAGACGGAACCAACTTCAGCTTCGGAAGGTGGCGATGGGTTTAGGCGGGTTCGCGGCGTTGGCGTGCTCTGCGGATCTTTGCTAATTGATTAGTAGATCGCAGACGAATCCGCGTCTCTGAGGACGGCTTCGCCAGTGATATGTCGTTCCTGGTGTAGGGTAGAATGGACCGATTGAGGGGAAAAGGAGGGGAGGAAACAGGCCGGCGCCACTGATGGCACCGCAGTACATGGCTCTAGCTTGAGATATGGCGCTGAAGGAAGTATCCGTAGCGCGGGATTCCTCGGCACGATACGGGAACAGGGTACCTTTTGGGTCTGGCACGGTGTGTAAAGTAGTGCCTCAGTCGTTCAGGTAGACGAACGGGTGTCTTGGAGGTATCGCGAGTGTCTTATTAGACACAGAGACAAGCTCAATCCAAAGTGTGTCCCAAGCCTACGGCATGGAATGTCCTGCAAGGCCAAAGGCAAAGAAGAGGCGCCCAACATCTGTGCTCTCATGGCAATGCGTCCGATCAATTGCTGGTCTCGGTTGTTTTTGCACGACCCCAAACACCCCAACATCAGCAGCAGCAGCATGCGGCAGAATCCCACGGCGGCGGTTGTCCGGTGATGCTCTGGTTTGTTTTCCGCCTGGCACGTATCAATCGCCGGCGGGCTTTCGTATCGTATCGCGAGCTACGGATACCTTGCGCCGCCAGCTATCTTGGCCCCTGCGTGCATGGGCTTGCGCTCAGTTCCAAGCCATTTGGACTAGGCTTCTGTTTTCCCGTGATTTTCGCCGGATT